CACCAACCAAAAAATACAAATCAAACTTCCGTGTTATCACCACTGTCGACGCAGGGAGAGTCGAGCGGGGGAATGATCGCGCCACCGACAACCCGATGAGTGTGCCCGATACCCTCGGTGACCAAGCCGGGATTTAGCAACGAGAGCTGGTCGACGGCAGAATTGAACCCGTCTTCCAGGGCACCGACTGCGTCCTCCTCGAGGTTCCGAATATGAGCAATAAACTCAGCCCGACTCTTCAAAGCCATTAGGTCCTCGGGCTCATCTTCAGCGGGTTGTTGAGCAGCATTCAGTTCCTCGACCTGCTTGCCCAGGCGTTCGACTTCAGCAGCCAAACGATCCCTATCAGCCCGGAGCAACTCCCCTTCCTCGGTCAACCGCCCCGACTTCTCTTTCTCCAAGGTCAGCGCCTCCCTCTCGGCGTCAAGTATCACGGTCTGCTCTTGGAACATCCCCTCGGAGCGTTCCAGAGCGACCTTCAACTTCCTTGAGCTCGCCGTCAAGGCTGCCTTCTCCCGCTCGAGCTCTTCAACACGAGCAGCGTCCCCTGCGTCTTCAGACAATACCAGAGCCATTTCAGCCATTTTAACCAGCCCATCCACGCTGGCGACCAGCCGCGACCGCCTCTCCTCTTTGGTCATCCTTTTTATGGCCTCAGCTTCATGCGCGACCACGGTCGGGGGAAACCGCTCGAAAAAACCCTCCTCCTCGATGCAGGGGGGAAAGGCAAAGGATTGAACGGGACCGGTATCTTCCCCGACAGTTGGACCGCCTTCCACGCGGGTCCTCTTCCTTTGTGTCAGAACGGCTTCGGCATCAATGACTTCGACATCTGGATCTGACGCCGCCCCCGAGCTCGAGGTCGAATCCACCCTCACAGGCTGAGAAGCGTTCAGATTTGTCGGTGGACCCATTCTCGTCATCTGAGGGCCCGGCACGACCTTCTTGTTTCGCCTATGGCCGGTCGACAGTTTCAGGAGCCTTTCATGTCGGCTGGCCATCGTACCTGCACGAAGTAAAAGAAAAGTCAGTATCGAGCAAAACGCGTAAATAAATGACGAGTCAAGAATTTCAAACAAACAACCTAACAGGCGGGCTGCCTCCCTATAGGTCGAGCATTCCACCAACGCCTTGGTATCAATCGGGCGAGCCTCGAATATCGGGTAACCGTCCTTGTCGAGGATGTCATTCCCCTCCCGTGTAACCCACTGGGCGGGATGAAAACCGTCGACAAAGTTACAGAGAGCCGCATACGCCCGTTGATCCTCCGTGCACATGTCCCCGACTGCAGTGTGGAAATAGCCTGTTCCGTGCTCGAAGTGTCGGGGCATCCAATACACCGGGAACTTAGCCCGACGTCCTAGCACGGGGCTCCCGTCATCGTTCAACAATGCTTCCCCGTCGTCATCGCTGACCGGCCCTTCCTCCTCGTAGAGGGAATCCACAGCAGAATCAGTGATAGGGTGTACCACATACCACTTATCCTTGAACCCCCTCACAGAATCCATGTACATCCTAAACAGTCTCCTCGACTGCTTCAAGGACACCCAGCTGTGCTTCCCTCCCCGGGACTGGCGCTGTAGGTGGAAGACCCTAAAGAAGAGGGGTATGGTCGCCCCTATCCTTAAGTAGCGGCACGTCAGCTCAAACGCCCGGATGAAGGCGAGAGAGTTAGGGTGCAGCTGGGACGGGGCCAGCTCCAAATGCGTAAAAACCCCGGTCTCAAAGTCTGTGAAGGGCAGCCGCAAACCCAAGTCCTTAAAGGCGATCTCGTACATCGCAAAACTGTAATCCGGGTACATCGAGCAGATTCTGGCAGTGGTCGCAGGCAGCATGACCTCGAAATTCGGTTGAAAGTCGGGCTGGTCCTGCCCCCCTTCAATGGCGATGAACGGGTGTCGGTCATCCCGACCGTATATCGACGCCGTCCCCCGAGGCTCGGCGCCCACCCATTCCAGCGACGGGTCGGTCACAGTGTCGATAAGGTTGGCCGACTCGTCGGCACTTTGTTCTTCGCTGTCATGACGACCTGAGGAGCTCGGCTCATCCGCCATGGTTACCTGCAGAGCACGGGAAACCAATCAGATTGAGCATGAAGCCCTATGCTCGACATAATCATGTCGTCCATACACTACCGCAAGTCCATTTTCACAAGTGGATGCCTCCCCGACTCTCCTGAATCCAGTGTTCCTCCACAAACCAACTGCACGGCCACTCTTCAAGCATGTCGGTCCGGGGTATGAACATGGCGAGCCGCATTATGAAGCCCACGGCCACGACCATAAACATACCGGGCACCGGCATGAATCAGGCGCCCAGGATCATGAATACCCCGGGCAGCCCTGAAGTTTTTCACCTAAAACTATGAACGCGTCGGCCACAAGTATGCGTTTGCCGGTCCTAGACGTAAATCTGTCGGGCAAAACACGAGTTTACCGGGCTAATCCCACATTAACGGTCCTAGAATCATGCATTCTAAAACAAGAAAATAAAGAGAGTGGATCACTTACTTGGATCAAAGATGGGATTCGGCTAGGAAAAGAAGAATCTGGGACGGGAAGTCACGGTTGGAGAGAGTGTTGAGAGTTGCAACGAAGAGAGCACGAAGAACGGAAAGCGTATTATGGGGCCCAAGGACCCTATTTATAGTGATGACATGGAATACCAAACGTCACCTCGTTTAGCCACGGACTCCGTCTCCTCGACGCACTGCACCCAACGCAATGATGGCCCTACCCCCCTAGGGTGGCGGCACAATTCCCAAAAGATGCCTCGCGTGCCCGACCAACGTGCTCGGTACGGATCCTCCACGCATCCACCACCGAGGACGTTCCCGAGCACGACACGAGGAGGCTCCTCGAGGGGCCGCGCCTCCATTCTGGGCACGATACCTCAGCGACTGAACAAGGTTTCAAGTCATGGCTCCTCGCAAAGGAACCACGACTTGGGGGGCTCCTGTTCTGGACTGGGCCCGACAGGCCCAAAAGCATTACTAAGGCCCAGTCCAATGGGACTCGCTAAGGACCACAACGTCTATGCCCGACACCCTGATGTCCACCTCGACATCCCAGTGTGCCAGCCCACGCGACGAAGTCACGCTCGACAGACTGCCGTCCAGCTCTATGCCCTGGTTTCCAGCTCGACATTCGCTGTCCAGCTCGGGGTCTTGGCACCGAGCTCGACATCACGCTGCACTGCTCGACATGGACTCAAGCTACCTTGCTAGGGCAGACTCAGTCACCATTGCCCCAACGATACTCCGTAAAGACCGCGTCTCTGTCCGCCCGCACTTCACGCACCACATCCAGGGAGGGGACCACGTGCTGATCCCCACTACCCACGTAGGACCTGGCAGTTCCTCCATTGGGCCAAATCCGCCCGGCCCAGTGAAGGAACCTTGGCCCAGCGCTGGGGGCTATAAATACCCTCTGCTTCCAGAGGGTCAGGTAATCATCAATTCTAACCTCAGCTCTATTATCTGCTAGTACTCCCACTGACTTAAGCATCGGAGTGCCTTGCAGGTACCCCCCCCCTCCTCGTTCAAAAAGCCTTCAGCTCGGAGCAGCCGTGACGGTCCAAACCTTCTGATCAGGTCAGATCAGGTACGTATACATGTTATGTAGAATTATATGTCAAATTCCCTCTCCAAACTCATAAGTAAGTTTGTTTGAGTTAGAATATCACTGCCCCAACTTCACCAAGCCAGACTTTTCCTCCAAACTTATGTGTTTTATTGAGTGAGAACACCAACCCTCTCTAGTACAGACACTTCTCGACTAGCCACCAAATTTTTGAATGATAAGTTTCTCTTTAGGGGCAACAACGAAAACATTTACAACTGATGACTTGTTCTTAGAGGTTGGATGTCAATAACATCATACACGAGTCATAATCAAAGTTGTCTGACAAATTTATATTTTGTTCGATGACCTTGAGATGTCAATAATAATGAACGCATAAATTCTGTAAACTCTATGTAAAAAGAAAGAACATAAAGATTCTAAAAATCCAAATTTTACTTAATTTTATTTGTAGTCTTTTATAAATAAAAATTACACAAGTAATATTAGTCTTTTTTATTAAACTAATGTAGATTTTTAAATAATTATTGTGTAGATATATTTAAAACGCCATAAAAAGTTTCTAAAAGAAAAACTAAAAATTTGATTTATAAGTCAAATTTTTCATTACTTTTATCATTATCATTTAAAATTTTAAAAATTTATATTTAATTTTTTTTTATTTAAAAAAAAAATCTAAAATTTAATAAAAAATATTTTATAATATTCTAAACAATATATAAAAAATATAGGCTAAAATATGTAATTCAAAATATTATTTAAAAATTTAAAAATAATTAAATAGTTTTTAAAATTTTAGAAGCTAAAATATGTTTTTTTTAGAGACTAAAATATTTTTGTTTTATAGAGATTAAAAATAGAATTTAAAGTTTTTTTTTTAATTATTTTTAACATCAAAAATATATACTTTTTAACTTCAAAAAGATTTTCTTTAAAATTGACTTTAAACTTTAGGAAGTTTAAGCTAAGCCCTCATCTTTCAAAATGTGTGTAATGACTTGGTAACAAACTTCTGCAAAACATACTTTCATTAGTTTTCTATCAAGTTGATGTAGACAAGGAATCCCCTTTTTTTTCTAACAAACTGATGCAGACAAAGAACACTCATCTCATCATTTATTATTGTTTTTAAAGCTAGAGATAATTCAGTCATAATTTTTATAATATTGTATTCAAACACGGTATTATATAACTTGTATCAAGCACAATACACATTTCAATAGCAAACACTTCTTTAAAATAAAAAGATCAAGACCAAAAGTTCTTTACATGAGATGCCATTTAAAACGCTCCTAGTAAATAAACATATATCAACATAAAACAATGTTAATTAATATCAAAATGTGTGGCAAAACAAACTTTACAAGACAAAGCGTTCATTACTTCACCTAGAAATCTATGTTCAAAACAACTTGTTAATCAACTGCTACGAACATAAGGTTCAAAAAGTTTAACACATGGATTTGGATCATACTGCATAATATCTGCAGCACGTTCAAACTCTTCTCTCAGAACTTTGATGCTGCGTTTATCAACCACTCGACCCAGATCATGAGATATTTCAAAAGGATCCTCTATACATATCAAATGCCGATCATTACCAACCCTTCTTGTCCAATCCTTATCTCGCTTGCTACACCAGAAGAAAAAATATTCAATCAGATGAAAAGTCTATATACTGGATGTTAGTTTCAGTAATTTAGTGTTGGGGATGGTTTAGGGTCTTGGGGTCTCGGGTCTCTTTTGAATTGAATTGTTTGAACTTATTTACCGGCCATCAATGAGGTTGTTTAAAAGAGATTATAAAATTAGCTTATAACATGTTTCTTTCCATAACTGAAATTAGCTTTATGAAAATAGTTCATTTTATTTTTTCTTCTGCATTAGGAACATTGATACATAAGCACGTAGTACTCCTTTTGGTTTCAAATCTAAGCAAAAATCCAATGTGACAGAAAAATATAGATGCTGAATTCTCTTACCTGATTGTGCTTCCTGTGCGTACAGATATAACAGAATTTGCATAATCATGACAATATGCCCAATAAAAGAAAAATCCCCACACAAGATGAGCAATAGATTCCTTGTTATGTCGTCCAAAATGACCTAGTTTTTCAACTTGGTCAAAGAATGCACAATCCACATTGTCAACGGTAACTGAGTATGTTGCATCCATCCCCTATACAGAAAATAATATTTATAACCAACAAATTCATGTAACACTACAAAGTTAGGTATATCATGTATAACAAGCACAGCACAATTTATGCTTAATGAGGAAGAGTTAACTATGCTTGCTCAAAATACTCTGCAAAAACGCCATTCTTAGTAAAACATGAAAGCTTTCACCAGTGATAAATATAACAAAATTATCGGAGATGAACATAATACAAAATTGGAAGTGTTAAACGAAAAGAAACTTATCAAAATTGGTTAATTTTATTTTCACTCTATACAAAGAATGGAAACGCTAGTTGTTCTTTTAAGATAACAATTAAGGATACTTCTGTTCTGAAACAGAAGTAGCACAAATAATGAGGTAGTTGAAAGGTTATGTCAATAGATAAATCCAATTCGGAAGAAAAGAGAATGAAAACTACAATAGACACCTGTAAACATGGAAGGATAGCAGGTCGTCGCTGTTGTAGAAAATGAATACACATTAACACATACCTGAAATTAGACACTGCACAAGTTACTTTGACAGCATAACATTTTATATCACAATCATCAGCATTTCAATAACTCAATCAATTCACAAAGAAAATTATACTTTTGACAGATAGCGACTGAAGAGAACTTACGCATAGCTAGATAAGGTCCCGTGGTAAGTTTCATTGACTCCTCTTGACTTTGCCCAGTGTTTAATGATAAAAGCCAGCTGCCGTAGCCTAGAATCAATATTTGCATAATCCCGGAGAAGCTTAGTATTTACAACAGCAAGGAGGTTGTTGATGCATATATCACAAGAGATTCCTGTAGCTGGATCCATGAGCTTTACTATAGGAACCCTTGCTCGTGTCAATGCCTGTATACAATTTCATATTTAATTAATTCAAAGACTATTTCAATTAGAAGCAGTTAGCTTCCACCAAGAAAAATCAAAAGTATTAGACCTTCATTTCAGATTCCCAATGTATCAATCATCTTCCATTTCTTGTTTATTACTTCCATTTATTTTCGGGGTTTCAAATGACTAATAATAATGTTCTACTATTCAAATTTACTTCCGCTCCCAGTATTTAATTTTACGTTCTATACTGCATATAGGAAAACTATTATTGAAGGCCATCTTTTCATTTTTCATTCCTTTTGACTTGACTTTTCTCCGTTTCCTCTTCTCATATTTGAGTCATTTCTTATCTGTCAAGGAACTCTTGGCATTAAAAAATTATCACACCAGGTGTCTTTTTGTTAGGATTGCACACAAACCTTGTTTAAGAACAATGGTTAATGACTAAAGTTAGCATGCAATAAACATTCCTCAAGCATAAATGAACAATACACAATTAGGAAACAATACAATCAGCAGATGAAGGATACACAATCTTCAAGCACATTTATAAAGATAATAATCCACTGCATATAATAGATGATCACAGCAACAATTATTGGGGTTCGAGTTATAATTATTCAATTCTCAAGGCAGAAAACAGGCAAATATATAATCAACTACAGGAACAGAATTGGAAGAGTAAAAAAAAAGTAGAGACACGAAATAAAGGAGACGTAGAACGTAGAATAACAGAAAGCTTATGTAAAACTAAACATTAGCATTAAATAGAGAGGGAAATAGTTTCTGTGATTCTACAGAAAGGTAACACCTTTATATACAAATCACACACTAAAAACTATTGAATACTGCAAAAACAAACACTGCATTATGTGCTACATCTTTGCCAAAATAAACTATGATAGTATTATAATCCCTTCAAAAAGACATCTTTACATTTTCTTTCTATTTATATCCATGCCTCCTTATTCTTGTAAATCTTATTTTCCACTTTTTTCTATATCATGATTTTCAGTAACTAAATTTCTTCTTCTAGGCAAAACCGAAAGATAACACTATTCAAACCCGCACACCATGTCAAGTATCAACTTTTCATTACTTTGAATAGCAAACTAGTAGATTTTTAAATTGGAAAATTGTATTCCAGAAGTAGGAACATAGTTAAAAGATGATTATAATAATTAATATTATTAATGCTTCACATGGGAAGTATTCAGTGAACAATGGATCAATGAATAACAAAGGTGACTAAAATCTAGATTTCACTTGGGATCAAATAGGGAACTCAAGATCGTACGTCATTCTTGAAGATCCTACAAAATTTATAAAAACCTGTATATAGGTGCATATAAGTTCATAAACATGCTTATAAAATAACATACACATAAAAATAGAAGAAAAAAATATCTAAATCACAGTATCACATAACAAACCCCACATTGAACTTAAACTTTAAAATCTTAAGGAAGTCATAAACAATATATAGGTGGCAAATTAACTGGCTAGTACAACGTAACTACAAATGGGAAAATACAAAACATCAAGTTTCTAACAAGTGCCCAGCAGCGGGACTAGCGGAAATAGCGGCCTCTATTTGTGAAATCGTGGCGGCGCAATAGCGGCTCTGTAGAGGTTTACACACTGCTATTGTGAAGATGAGGGCAATATTGTAAATTTGAGATTAACACCCTAGGGAGACTCCAGTCCATATGAAAGGTTGAGCTGATGTTTTGAGGGTAGGAGAAATGCCCAAAACAAGTTTGGACACATTGCATAGTTGATTTAGGGTTTGGAAGAAAGCGGGTCACAAATATGGATTTTGGGTGAAGCTAAATTCAGATATTTGTTAACAGAGGGATCACACTATCCCATCCATAGTCACATAATTCAATATTCGCTTCGGTACACGATCCGTAACTCGCAAAGAATTAGGTATGTGAGGGGTATACAGAGTCGGTAAGCTATTTAGGTTTGTGGTGTGTTCAAATATAATAAGAAGTATGCTATTAATAAAAAAATTGTTTAATTAGAAATTTAAAAATATTAATACCATCAATAAAACTTCATAGTCCCGCATTGACTATATAATAAAGCTACTCCTTTCAATTTCCGTTGTACTTTTGAAAGAAAAACTTCATAGTCCCACATCGACTATTTCATTAACATTGCTTTAAAAAATCAGTTATAAATAGCTAGTGTATACTCACTTCTTCTATATCAGTTAAGCAAATCTCTAATGGATTGGTATGGTCAACAGTGTTCACTTTTATCCATGTGATACTGACCTCTCCATAATTAAAAAAATAGTTAAAAGATTTCTTTTTATTTCTTGTTTATTGGACAATGTCTCATTTAAACTTGAAATTTAAATTTGGTTTTTGGTGTTTTACACAAATTATTCTGAGAATTTTTGCGAACCAATTTGCAAGAGTACCACGAACCGGTACGTGCTAATCAGTCCGCGATTCGTTGTGGGTACTTGTGAATTATGAGACTATCCCATCAATTCTCCTAGCTTATTCAACAACCCCAAACAATCACACCCCAATTTGCAAGAGTACCACGAACCGGTACGTGCTAATCAGTCCGCGATTCGTTGTGGGTACTTGTGAATTATGAGACTATCTTATTCAACAACCCCAAACAATCACTCCAAATTGAGTTTAAGCGCGTGATCGGGATTACTAGTGATAACAACAATCACAAAACTACAATTCAGTACAAGTAGGATTCTGATTTTAACTACCATGCTAATAAAAACCGTTAGCAAGGCTACACTAGTAAATAGCAGGTTATATATGCAGCTCATGCTTTGGAGAAGTACATGTTTAAAATTTATTTATATATGAAAATAAATGTAAACAAAAAATATACCAGAGCAATTTAAGAGGGCACATCAATAATCTCACCTGAACATTCTGCAGGCTATCGGATTGCAAAATACCAGCCAATTTCATTATGATCTTAGATTTGTCCATATCAACTTCCTGAATAGCAAGGCAAACATCAATGTCACTTTTAGAAACACCAAATGAATTAGCACATGATCCATAGAGATAAAGCCGAGCCATTGGCCACTCCTTGCAAACTAACTTCTCTAGTAACCCTAACAATTGCTTCTGCTTCAACTTTTCTTCTTCTGGAGGTATCAGAGATTCATATATTGCAAGGAAAGGAACACTAAGACCATCAATGTCCCTACGGCACATCATTTGTCTTTTAAATGTTCTTGCCCGCTGACTTAGCAACTGCTTTCCTCTTGAGTCTGAAGCTCTAGCATCCTGATAATAAATGCTGTAAGTAACCCTCATTCACAGAGATTCCATTTCATTTAATTTATACTAAAAAGATAGATAAACAAATACCATATGAACCTCATAGTTTGATAATTGACATCTAGTTATAAAATTCAATCAACAACCTAGACTTTTTCACATCCAGTTCTCAGCAGAAATTTAAAACAAAAAAGCATAACCATATTATCGACATTCACGATATCAACAAATAACATCTACTCCAAATACTTTAAATGAAATTGAAATTCGGTATAAAATCTACTTCTCGAGAATGATCGACCAATCGACAGAAATCAACAAATATTTAAGTTTTAACCTTCTCCTTAGGACCATGTCGTTTCTTAGAGTTACTACTCTTGTCATCAAGCTCATCCTCAAGCAACAACGAATCCGCCAATTGCTCTCCAACAGCACCAATATCCTCATAATCAGAATGAAGATTACTCCCAGAGGGTGGACCAGGGTGATCAATCTGATCAGAAAGCCTCAATCCATGACCCGCATTGCCTTTATTATTGCTCTTTCCACCAAACCCTATTCTCAAATTTTCCAACTTACTAGCCAAATCCTCATTCCTACCACCCATTTCACCAAACCCTATTCTCAAATTTTCCAGCTTACTAGCCAAATCCTCATTCCTACCACCCATTTCACCAAACCCTAATCCCTTTCCATTGTTCCCAAACCCAGGTGGAGCCTTAGTTTGTTCAGTAGATTGCGCATTTGACCTAAAATCTCCAATAACCCCTCTTTCATGATTATTCTTCCTATCAAATCTTCCATTAGAAGAAACTTCAGGTGTAGTAGTAGTGTAAGAAACCGTGGGTAAAGATCCAAACTGTAACTTCAGTTCCGGTTTCTGTTGTTGTTGTTGCGGTTGATGAGAGAAAGAATTAACACGGTTACTGTTGTTGTTCTCAATTGGAAACCCTAATCTTCTTAGATTTTCAGCGAGTGAAACACCGTTGGTGAAGTGAAGTGGAGTGTTGTTGTTGTTGTTGTTGGAATAACTGGTTTCCGGTACCGGAGGAAGTGAAAACGGGTTATGGAGCAACCCGAATGCGTTTTGCGGGTAAGGAGGAGAAGATGTGTGGGACCACGGTGAAAGATTCTGATTCTGATGATGATAGGGATGATGATGATGATGGTTGAGATGATCGTGACCGTTGATTTGATACGGGGATGTGGAGAACGGGATTGTGGGGCCCATCATGGCGACGGCGGGATCCATGGTGGGAGATTGTTGAGGTATGGTGATTGGCGATTGGGTTGGGTGAGTCTGAGTCTGGAGACGGGGTTTTTGAAGAAGAGAGAGAAGGAAATCGCCGCCGTTAGATTGCGGTGGCGGGAAGTTACCACCACCGCCGTTCATGGCGGCGGGGATGAGTGTTGGGGTTTGTGTGAGAGAGTGAAAAAAATTAAAATCTAAGATTTGAAAATTGTGAGAAAGACTTGGCACAGAAGAAAGTGAAATTAAAATTTATAAAGAAAATTTCAACGAGTATATTTTTGGTATCATTCTTATCTTATTTAAATTTTAATTGACGGTTATCGAAAAAATCAAGCATTTATTACTATTGTTAAAAACTAAAAATTGATTAAATTTGTTGTTAAATTAAAAATAATTATGAAAATATATTTGATTTGCCTCATGGATTAGTTTTATTTCATGCTTGAAGAATATTCCAAAATCTAAGGTCACTAAATTTCCCTTTTTATCAAGTACTAGTACAGTACAATTGTGGGGGAACAATTTGCTTCATCTTATTAGAAATTGTTATGATTTCATTGTCCGTTTAGAATTACGGTTAACTTTCTTTAACCAGTGACGAAAACTATTTTTAAGATGCAGTTTAGATTTGTTTTGAAATAAAAATGTATTTAGTTAAAATTAAATTTAAGACTAATGTTGATATCTATTTTAAGGGTACATGTTAATAAATTTTAAAATAGAAAATTTGTGTTGAAAAAAGCAATAAAAAATTAATTATAATTTTTTAATAAATACAATGTAAAATTTATAAATAAATAAAAAAATATTATTACGGATTTACATTTGATTCTTAACATGTGACATTGGTACATGTTAGCATTATCTTAAATTTAATTGTAGTTTAGATTAATTTTAAATTATTGATTTAAAAATTCAATTTTATGCGGTTTTATTTAAATCATTTTTACATCGTTGGTGGCTCAACCTGAGTGGAATAAGGGAAACATGGTGATGACGGTAGTTCTGATAGTTACAAACGTGAGCATGTAATTGAAGTGGAAGTTATGGTGGAGGAAACCCTAAAAGAAAAACGAAAGGATAATGTGAGAAATCGGAAACTATGGGTGGATGTAATCAATGAAAAATAGAAATTTGGCTAAGGGGAGAGTCTTGGAGTATGTTGCACCCAAGGTGGTGAATGGAGAAATAGAGATTGAAATTGATGAAGATGATGTTGCATCGGAATTACAATTTTGAGAAAACGCTTTAATTTTGTATGTTCTTGGTGAGGATATCAGTATGCATACGATGAAGAATTTTATGATGAAAGCGTGGAATTTTGTTTGTCTCCATGATCTCTACTACCATGATAAAGGCTACTTCATCCTTAGATTCAAAACTCGTGAAGACATGGATGTTGTGCTGATGAAGGGTCCATACACCATCAGGAATATGCATATGTTGTTGAAAGAATGGCGCCCTAATTGTAACCTCAAGATGACTTGCTGCAAAAACTTCTAATTTGGGTTAAGCTTCCTCAGATCCCCCTACATCTATGGGGAGCAAAGAGTCTTAACAAGATCGGTAGTGTCATTGGAGCTCCTCTGGTTACAAATGAATGTATTACGCATAAGCTTAGAGTGTTTTATGTTAGGATATTGGTTGAAGTTGATATCAGACTTGCATATTATTTGTAGTAAATGACAAACACAAGTCAGTACGACAAGGAGAAAAACACATGAGTACACTAAATAAAACACAACTACCTAAAAGCACTACGACATCCTCGAAAGTTTCACACTCGAGGAGCTCCTTAGTGTTGATGTGTCGAGCCTCGTATATGGGCTGACCCTTATTGTCGAGGACATCCTCCCCATTCCTCGTCTCCCACTTGGCAGGGAAGAAACCATCTAAAAACTTAGTAAGTTTACTATAGGACTCTTCGTCCTCGTCATCCGAATCGCCCGACTGGTAAGGTAGTGATTTGTCCCCTTCAGGAAATAACCTTCACACCAATGAAGAGGAAACTTTGAGACCAATTTCAACTCCTCGTTCCCGTCGTCATCATAGCACACATTTATGCCCTCGTCAGCCATGCTCACTTGCTTGAACACTGAATCAAAGGCTTTCGGTGACACAGGTTTAATGAGGTAGTACTAGTCCTTGAAGTCGCGGACAGAGTCCACGAACGTCTTAAACAGCCTCTTCGGTTGCTTCAAGGAGACCCAACTGTGTTTTCTGTTCAAAGCCTGTCGTTGGAGGTGGAAGCAACAGAAGAATAGGGGATCGTGGCGCCAAGCTCGGGATATAGACACACGATCTTGAATGCCTGAATAAAGGCAATCGCGTTCGGGTGCAGTTGGGAGGGCGCTAACTCTAGATGACCGAAGACCCTGATCTGAAAATCACTAAAGGGCAGACAAAGTCCCAATTCCTTGAAGACGGAGTCGTACATTGGAAAGTGGTTCCCCTTATAGTACGAGCAGGTCCTCCTGACCTCGGTTGGTTTGAAAATCTTCCAGTTCGGCTCGAATCCCTCTTCGCCCACACCGTGCTCGATGATCCTGAACGCGTCACCCGAGGAGGCCATATAGCGGGGACTATACCCCGTGGTTCATGTAATACCCCAAAATAATTAGATTATTTATTTAATTTATTAATTAATTTATGATGAGTTTTTGTGACGTATTTGTGGTGTCTATATGATGTATTGATGATCATGATGCTTGATATAATGTTTTGTGTGATGTATGATGGGGTTGTAAGAATTAAGAAGGTATAGAGTATTTTAGAATAACTTAGATAATTATAATAATTAATTGGGATTATTTTAATTAGTTAAATAGAATAATATTGGTGTTAAAGATGACAAGGGCATGATGGTCAATTAGAAGAAGTTAAGTGAGAGCAAAGGTGGAAGGACCAATTAGGGATCCAAGGGGTAAGATTGACAAATAGAGAATATTGAGGTTTGAGAGATTCATTCTATATGACCTCTTTTGGAATAAAAGAAGAGAAGAGGCTAGGGCATAGAGGAAGAGGAAGAGAACCCGTTAGAACGCGAAGAAGAAGTAGCAATTGTAGGTAATCAAGAATAGTTTGATGAGACTTAGAAGATAGTTGTAGAGTGTGTTCTTTACTTCCTGTAGAATTAAAAGGGGTATTTCTCTATGTTGTACCCCAAAATTTGCCCTCCCATTTTTCTTTAAAGCATTCTTTCAAAGCTCTTCAAATGGTCAAGGCACCCAAGAGTTGACTAGTCAAGATGCACCTCCTAGACCAAAAGCCTACAACTAGGGTTTGGAGTTTCTCAAGGAAATTTGGTCTGAAAAAGTCTTAAGTGTCTCCCATGTTTCTTCATAGGTCCTCAACAAGGCTCATGTCATGTTTCAAGCCCTACATCACAAGTTTGCTCAGTCAATGGCTCAGATGCTTGAAAATCAACTATATTGATCAAAAAGTTAACTATGTCAACATACAGTCAAACTTCAAGATTTTTGGTCAACGTCAACATTTTGAAGTGATATTCATCATTTAATCAAGGGTTGATCATGATTCCCTAAGGAAAGTCCTCAGATCATCAAAAGTCAAGATTTGTCAAATTAGGGTTTCCTTAGGAGAAGTCAACTGAACTTTGACCAGGCATAACTTTCACATGTTTCATTAACTTTTCCCCAACCAAAGCATATTTTGAAGAAAATTCAATTCTCTACAACTTTTCTATTGTTCTTAACTACAAAAAATGCTTCATTTGGAAGATATGATCTCATACATTATAGGTCATTTTCAAAAGTCAACAAAAGACACTTTTTGTCAAGGAAACTTACATCAAGATGATGTCTTCAAAAGAAAAAATGATCAACATAGAGATTGAAGGGGACATCTTGGGCTTTCTAAAAAGTCTAAGATCAACTTCAAAAGATGAAAATTTAGCAAGTTATGAGGTGCACAAGTTAGGCAATTATCAAGAAATGCATGAAGTCAACTTTGAGCAAAATTGCATTTTTAGGTTAGTAAACCTAACTTTTAGGGTTCAAACATGTTTATGACATACCCAAGGACCTCTAAATCTAATCATACACTATTGTGATTTTTATTTTTATTTATTTGAATTTTTATTCATTTAAATATGAATTGAATTAAATAAATTAGATAAAAATACAAGAAATAATGGGATAGCGCATTTGGGCTTGACTTTACCCATCATGGAGCCCAATATTTCGCGCAAAGACCAACAAAAAACTGTTCAGGTTCATGCAGCATCAAGAATGGCAAGAACCATCCAAATATGGCAAACTTTCAATATGTTGGATTTTTGTCTCATGGCCTTGAAAGCTTTGTTTCTTGTCATACTTGCTTTTCTCCTAACTCTATAAATACATAACATTGCAAGCAAGAAATGGCACGAAATTCTACATGAAAAAACTCTCCAAAAAAACCAAAGAATTAGTGCAAGTCATATCTTAAAGTTCAAACCTCTCTCGATTGAAACCAAGCCTCGAGCCATCCTCTTTAAGTCCCAAGGAGTTTTTTACAAGGTCCAAGATCAGTCCATCACAAGCTTAGAACGCCCCCATTTGATAACACTGGTTTGGTAAAGTTTAAAATTTTGAATCTCTAATTTTAATCATATTTCATGGCATGCTAATATTTGTTTGAGTTTATATGAATCTATAGATCACGTATGAGTGGGACCAAATATACGCATCATGCACCTCCAGTTCCTGACCCCCATATTTCATCAGGCTAGATCCAAAGCCTCAAAGGCGCGTCCCCATGATGAACCCCAAGAAGCGTCCCTCACTGGATCTTCAGGCGCCTGGGCCCTATTGCTAATGGGCCTGGGAATTTTTTGCTATTTCACACCCTTTAACTACTTTTTGAAGTGCCTGGCCCATTTCTTTTTTTTCTTTTTTTTCTTTTTTTGTTGTTTATTTATTTAATTTTCTTTAAACCTCTTTTTTCCATTTACGAACATAAAAAATCACAAAATCACAAAAAAATAATAGATTTAAGTTTTTATTAATTAAATTAATTTTGATCAATCATTTAATCACCTTTTTAATTAATTAACTAATTAGAATTAGGTTCTCATAATTTAATTATTTTTCTAAATAAAAACAAATATTTCTTTTATCACTTAGAAATTTTTCTTAGGG